ATTTATTTTCTAACAAAACTGCAAAGCTTATTATTCATGTTTCCATTAAAGAGAACAGCTGTAGTTTCAGTAACACGATAGTAGGCAAATTAGCTAATAGGCACCCTATGGTGCTGACATAAAACAAAGTGCACACTAAAAGCTCGTAGTAGAAACGGTTAAACCAAAACATTTGAGAAATCAGACCACTGTGTTCTACATGGACACTCGTGTCATCTCTGTGGGGTTTTTCAATATCTGATGCCAACAGGTGTTAGATGAGAAAACAGCATGATTTGACGTCTTTTCTTAATGTGTTTTTTTAAGCACATTACATTCTCACAATCAGCCCGAAGTCGTCAAAGTAAAGTGAACTCTGAACGAATCATCCGCTCACGATAATGTCCAAGTGCTTTAAAACAGACAATGTTGATGTCTCATAGTTAAGTGCTCTAGATACAAGCTGTTCCCAATTAACCATTCAAACGTTAAATCCAGCCGGCCTCCCATCCCAGTGCTGGGTGGGAGGGCCCTTTCCCAGCATGCTCTCTTCCAGATAAGCGGAGATGGAGATGCAAAGCTGCCTAATATAATTGCATATTAGCTGGCTCAGGCCTGAGCTCCCAGTGGTGCTGTTAATTTATCGCATCCAATTTAAATTCCTGCCACTTTCTAATAGCACTAATGAAAGGCCTCTCCCTACACTGAGTGCATTTGAGCTTTCTCATTCAGGCACAAGGTGCATTAAACTCGGCTAAAGGCACTGAAACCATACAGGAACAAATGGGCTGCAAATGTTTACAATATGTCACTTAGGCACCAATTAGAGCAAGCAGAACATTGGCCAGAAGAGTAAAAGAGGAACATGTAAGTTTGTTAGTGAAGCTCATAAAGGTGCTCACGCTCAGCTTAATTTCAGACACCTAATGTGCACAATTAAGCACTTTTAAGGCTCCTTTGTGCCACATTCAGAGGCCTATAAATAGAGATCTTTCAGAGAATTGGTTGCAGTTCGTGTGTGTCAGCATGCGCTCTCTTCAACTGCATGGGATTTACTGGAGTTGGCAGGTTTCACCTTTACAATGTTTGCTTACAGATGATTTATAAAAGAAAGGTTCTTGTGGAATAAAAAGCAAGATTTGTTGCTTGCTTTTTAATGCCTTTAGTATTACCCGTGTGAAGGAGCAAGCTCCTTCCCCCTCTTCCAAAGTAATGAATGCTCATTTTGTTTATATGCATCATTGTTTTTTGCTATTATTATTATTATTAGTTATATTATTGTTCAGATGTGTGTGTAGTAGTGCTGTCGATATTAACGTGTTAACGTAAACATGTTCACATTTTTTACGTAAACATATGTACTGTTTGCTCTTCCTGTGACATGTAAATGGTTGGACACGCGCACTCTTGTTTGTATGTTCACAGTAATTGGTTTCATCCAGTGCCAAAACAAAGTTTTATGCAACAAGTGGGAGTTTTAGAGTGGGAAGGAAAGATGAGAATGCTCGACAATGCAATCCACAGCACACTCACAGGTGACCACTGGACCTCAGAGTTACTGCACACTTCATAGACAACTAATGTAATCTGAGGAAACGGAGAAGAGACACACCACAGAAGAATGCGCTGAACATGGAGGTTGATGGAATAATCTTAACAACCTTGTTTGTCTCAGCTACTGGCTGAATCAAAAGAAAGACTGAGGTGTTTTGATTAATCGCTATACATTTTTTGAAGGACCATGTGATTAATAAGTAAATTTTTTTTAATCTGTCGACAGCACTAGTTAAGTTGAGTTTCTATGATGGTGTCGTCATAACCGGTTAGGCAATCGGAACCTGATGAACCCAGGTGTCTTTCTTTTTTTATATAAATGTGTTAGATTTGTGTCAGTGAAAGAGAGACACACAAGGACACACAGGGATAGAGGTCTGCTGTTGGGACTTTTCTTTGGATTCGAGACCCACGTCTTTAAAAAACGGTGGCAGTGGTGGGATGACCTCGGTACAAGAGCATCTTAGTGCCAAGGCACTTCAGGGATAGCTGCATGGGCCCAACCACGCCATTCCCAGTGACTTTTCTTTAGCCACCATACACAGGAACCAGGTCATGCACTCCTACACACCGCGGGTAATCTCATGCTTTGGCGCTATGGTGGCACCCCATTTAAAGATGTGGGTCTTAAACACAAGTAAAGTCCTGAAAATAAACTCAAACGATTGCCCATTGGTACAAAAATAAATATAGTTTTTGTAAGACAAAAACAATAAAGAAAAACACTCACACAGACATTAATTATCAGGCATATCAGACCTATGTCACTGTGTGTGTCCTTTTTTGTCTCTTTTTTACTAAAACAAGTCAAAAACATAAACAAATAAGAGACACATGGCTTCATCAGGCTCTGATTTACAAACCGGTACACAAAGCTGATAACGTCGCCTCAACTCCCCCAACCCTATAAACAAAATTAAATATAACTAATAATAATTGCATTAAACAACAATACATATAAACAACAGAAGCATTCATAACTTCGGATGGGGGTAGGAGCTCACTTCTTAACCTGTATTGCTTTTGCTTGCTTTTAAACATTTTTTTTTATGCTCTGAAAGGTCATCTTGGGTATTCACTGGCTTGGCAGGAGCTGATTCAACAAGACTCTGCACCATCAAAATGTTCTTCATTTAGCTCCAAATAGGAAATGGAGGTGAGAAAATCAATAAATCCTGTCTGGGCTTGTCAGTCTTGCTTAAATTAATGTACAAGAGAAGGCATGCACTTTTTTTTTTAGCATAATAGGATCCCTGGAGATTGGCACCATGCTGGCACAGTCTCTGGTAAACTCTGATGTCACTGAAAATTGTTGATTAGTGGTAACTGTACTATAAAATGGCTTGTAGTTGATAATTGGACCTTAATGGATTTAAGAGTGACTTGTGAAAAGACCAGGACTTCTCAGAATTGTCAAGTTGATCATGATTTCTTCAGCCTCAGAGTAGGTTTTCTGGTAAACCTGATCGATACCTTACGGAATCTAGCCACATGCTTTATGTTTATTGTCTAAGTTACTCAGACGTCCATGAAGATGGCTCCTCCGCTAGTAAGTGAATTGTACTCATATTCCCCTTTCATGCCAGTGCTTCTGGGAAGGGGTGCTGCAAAAGTGCTTGGTTTCCATTCTCTTTATCAGGAAGGCAGGGGTAGATGATACATCACAGGCACTTACCCAGTGAAACTGACAAATGAAATGGCATTGGGCTATGGACAATGGCTGTTTAATGTAAGTGGCCCTGAGTCTTCCACCAAGCACTGGAGATGCATTACACCATGAAATCTGTTAGGTGGCCTTTCATGCAAATGCAACTTATAGAAGACTTGGTGGGGAATAGGAATAAACACATGTTAACAACAAAGTCATCTGTCTGGAAATATGTTTTATGCAGTTGATTTAACATGCGTTCCATAATCAACCAACCACCTCGTTTTGACTTTAGTTTGTACCCTTTTTCGTCTATTTTCAACCGTTTTTAATCATCCTGGTGCAAAACAGTTAGCCTTTCCACCTTGTCTGTTAATTCGATTGAGGTTTAATGATTTTACCACAGAGGAAGATGTGAAGTGAGGGAAACTATGACCTGTTCTGGAGAAGTTGGATTAAAATACAATTAAGCTAAGCTCTTCACAATAGGTGTGGATCTCCCAGTATCGCATAGCTTTTAAATAGATGAGTTTTGATCAAGCCTTGGGAATTTAAAGCTGCATATTTTAACCTTGCACTTCACTCAATACAAGAAACTACTAGCACAATTTTTGGGGGTTTATGAAAGAATAATTTTGAAGCATTTCTAACGTTAGTTGACTGATTTTGCCATGAATATATTACAATTAGAATAAACATTTAGTGTGTTTGCATCATAGACTCTAGTTTTCTGTTTGGAGGCTCAGATTTGGTGAAGCCAACCATGGAAGTACATCAGTATTGGGGGAATTGTAATTGGGCAATAGGTGCCCAGAGGTAGGAAATGGGGTAGGAAATGCACCCGTGTGGCTAAAAATCAAGAAATTAATTCATTAAACTTACTAGTTTTCATAAAAGTCCAAAATATATGCAGTAAAGTTATCTGCAAGCTTTTAGCAAGTAACCTGCAATTAAGTACAAATCACTTGAAGCCCGTCTATTTACGTCTATGTACGTCTATTTTTATTCTATTTATTCTATTCTATTTTTAGTTTAAGATCAAAATATATTTACTTCAGGGGTTAGGTGTGTGGTGGAAAATGAGGCAAAAATATCAAGGAGTCGAATTATGAATTGACAAAATCACAAAGTATTTATTCAGGATGCATGCAACGGTTTTTAGATAGCAGATCGAACCCAAAGATGTTACGTTGGTTGCATACCCTTTGGGCATGGCAATCAGTCTTAAATACAATACAAAGATAGGCTGATCCCAGACATTGACAAATCAAATTAATAGATGAGAATCACACGTTTACAGAAACACGTAGAGTTAGCAGTTTAAATGTTCAAAGGTAATGTCATGACAAATGTCAGGTCGCTCTGTACACAAAAACTGGAAGACTAGTCACGCAGGCATTAACTTAAAAACAGAATAGTCAAGCAGGAAAGATTAAGGATTTAAAACAGTTAAACTATTTAAACCTAATGAGAAAATAATTATCGCAACCACAGGTGATGCATGATGATGCAAAAAAAAAAAATCATGCATCTTGAATATCTTCCTAAACCAATCTGTACAAAAGTTTTCTGAAACATTGAAAAGAAGTATCTCTCTACGGAGAACATCAAATGTTGAGGTCAGTAATGTTTTTGCTCTCTGATCAATAAAAACTGAAGTACTAATCCAGAAACTGAGTGAAAGTTGACCATCACATGGAAGGCAGAGTAAGACATAAAGGTCATTGGTAAAGAGGTAGGTTGTTTACATTTACGCATTTCGTAGACACTTTTATCCAAAATGACTTACATTTGAATGAATGAATACATTATCAGTTCTTGCTATCCCTGGGATTTGAACGCAAGACCTGTGCATTGGTAGCGCAATGCTCTACCAACTGAGCCACAGGAAAGCACACAGTGTGTATGTGAGTGTAAATCATAGAAAGTGAACTGGCAGGTAAAAATGTGGCATCAAAAGGGAGAATAATAGGATTTAATGCTTTACTTCCAAAAATCGCATCTACACGAACACTTAAAAAAAACCCTAAGTGCTGTAAAGATTCTACCAAACCGACAATTGGCAGTTGATTAATGCATTTTTAAAATGAGTACTAAGCATTGGGTTTTCAAAAACACTAGTGCCTCTGTTTGATAATCGAATAAGCTCTAAGCCATGATAGCACAGTGAACAGCAACAGAGTCCTTGCTTCTTCCACCATTATACTTGGTCCTTTTAAACAAAGCGGTGACTACAAGCACAAAAAAAGGAAAAATGTGACAAATCCCCACCTCCAAAACTCTACATGTAAATTCATCACAGAGCGTTTCCAAAATGAGACACCTTAGCAGGCATTTTCAAAATGCATACTGTGTTTATTTGTGGACAAACACTTTAACTGTGCAGAAAAATCCCTATTTTCCAAATAACCTGGTACGCGTGGACAGCACCTACGCCTAAATCAGCAAATCTAGAGCTGATACTTAAATACAGATTGTAGACATGGGCCAGTAATGTTGCATTTCTTGTGTGAAGCTACTTCTGAGCTTGAGACGATGTCAGATGCATCTAACTGAGAAGATCTGAGCTGGTGTCAGTGCTTAAAATGGCATTTTCATGTGAAACTTCATTTGGAAATCAGCATTCCAATGTCTGGAGGTCGAATGAAGAGGTACAAACCCATTATGATTGAACTACATAGAGAATCTGAGCGATATTGTGAAGAGGAAGAGCAGCCTGAGTAGTTGCGCAGTCCTTCATGCCACACATTTATTCAGAATTGATACAAACAGAAGCCAAACAAATTTAGCGCATAGTAACAAACTTTAAGCATTTAAATCTAAATAACGTATGGGTTTTAACTTTTACAAAAATATTTTGATACAGAAAAACTCCATATGTACATGATATTCCTATCTTTTGTGATATAAACATGTAAAATAAAAATATAGACAATTTTAGGGGAAAATGGTACAGATTTCCAAATGAATAATCTGCTTTTGATTAGCTAATCACACATGTTACTGTTTGGATTAAATGTACCTTGTTAAAATGCTTCTGTAACAGTAGTTTTTTATAGTTTTAGATGAAAATTTCAGTGTTTCTTTACATCAAGCCTCATGTTGATTGCTTAGAAGTCTGTTCCTTCAGGGTTTGTGATAACAGAATCTGTTCCCCAAACATCACACACAGGGGTCTGCGGGAGAAAAACAAACACACGCTTCCTTCTCAATGCAGTCGAAATCTCAGTCACCTCTCTAATTTGTCAAAAAATTTGCTCAGTTTTCAATAATACAGCTTACACAAGCCCTTTCCTTTTTTCATGGTTTCTAATTACTGTTCATTCTTAGATCAATTTCAATTCAAAGTGCGAATAATTTAAAATAAAATTACTCGTGAGGGTAGAGGGGGATAAGATGGTGACTTCACTTGGATGATGCAAAGGGATGAAATACTTTATCTGCTTTTTGAAAGAAAGATCAATGAAAAGATTATTTTTGAAAAGAGAACTTTCTTTTCGGCAGTCGTTACGATTTCCTTATCTACCAAAACATTTGATCATGGTACCTAATCAAGGATGTGTCTTTTCCTAAAAAGACTCAATGATTTAGAATGAGAGCTTCAGTCATTGTAAAAAAACACTGTTCTTTCTAAAGCATGATGAGAAGCATGGAAATATTGAACGAGGGAAATGTATACTGTAGCAACACGATAGCTTTTACCGCTTGATTCCCTGAGGTATCTGTGTTGCTATGCTAGTTTGCTAATTGGACTACTTGCACTGAGCCTCATGACACACTTTTCATTCATTCATTTTCCCTTTTGGGGTCATGGGGGTCTGCCGGTGCACATTGGGCGAGAGGTAGGGGTACACCCAGGTCGCCAGTCCACAGGGCAAAATTCACTCTTTAAGATAATTTAGATTATTCAATTAACCTAACCGCATGTTTAACCGCACGCAAGCACGGTGAGAGCATGCAAACTCCTTCCAGGAAGGTCACTGGCGACCCTCGAACTGACAACCTTCTAACTGGAAGGCCACAGTGCTACCCACTGCGCCACCGTGCTGCCTCATGACACACTTCATTTCTGAAATTGGACATATTGCCTTTTTACGGTCCAACCACAATCACAGTTTTCTCAATCCAAACAAATCTTAAAATGTGCAAAAACTACAGTTTTTACATTTCAGAGACAGCAGCAGATGAGCACAATAACCTGCTGTGTTTCACTGTTTACAATATTTTTGAAATTCAAAGGAACTTTAAGTTTTTTCTTGCTGATGTTAAAATCTGTTCCATCTTATCAGCTTAGTATAACTCAAACAGGGTTGCATCTAGGCTCTTCAATGGCTTTTAACTTATATTTGTATATATTTTAACAGTATATTGTATTTGAGGTTATTAAAATGTTAAAATTAAAGCCATTTTATAGTGTTTGAGTACTTAAAAGACCACAAAAGTTGAAAAAATACTAGCCATATCACAGGTATTGTACTCACAAGGGTTATCCCCCTTTTCACCACTGGATGGCACTGATTTGGGGTCTGGGAAACTAAAGACGATTTTTTTTTCTCATTTTAATTTGAATTACAAATCTAAAGCCTTAAATATTAAAACTAATGACATTTTTTAAAAATCTAAATCAAACAGCTGGTGGGTTGACGTCATTCCTTCTTAATTCAAAACAGACGCTGTGATTGGCAAATGGAACAGTGCGTGCAGAGACTTCTAACGGTTAAATGAATTACTTAAAACATTTCATCAACCACATTTGTAACTAACCACATATATATGTATATAAATCACAGGGGGTCACACCTGAATTTTAGCATAAACAACGTACATCATGCGCAATAAGACTCTTGCATCTAGGCTCTTCAATGGCTTTTTAACTTATATTTGTATATATTTTAACAGTATATTGTATTTGAGGTTATTAAAGTGTTAAAATTAAAGCCATTTTATAGTGTTTGAGTACTTAAAAGACCACAAAAGTTGAAAAAATACTAGCCATATCACAGGTATTGTACTCACAAGGGTTATCCCCCTTTTCACCACTGGATGGCACTGATTTGGGGTCTGGGAAACTAAAGACGATTTTTTTTTCTCATTTTAATTTGAATTACAAATCTAAAGCCTTAAATATTAAAACTAATGACATTTTTTAAAAATCTAAATCAAACAGCTGGTGGGTTGACGTCATTCCTTCTTAATTCAAAACAGACACTGTGATTGGCAAATGGAACAGTGCGTGCAGAGACTTCTAACGGTTAAATGAATTACTTAACACATTTCATCAACCACATTTGTTACTAACCACATATATGTATATAAATCACAGGAGGTCACACCTGAATTTTAGCATAAACAATGTACATCATGCGCAATAACTTTCAGAAAATCCTATCTTTAGTTTTACTGTATGTGCTGCTGATACAGTAGATATCTCAAAACACAGCATCATCCTCAGATGAAACTGTGTGGGACCCTCCTTGTCAAAGTGTCCCATCAGCGCTCATCAAACTGCCTATGAAAGACTGGTTTCATGCTGTGCTCAAGTTCTCCCAGAGAGATGGGCCCTCAGTTTGTGGCTCAGCTTACCCAGCAGGCTCTCTTCTCTGAGTCTTCTCTCTGATCAGGGTCTGCCTTGTTTACAGAATGGGCTCTTTGCTGAGCTTTCTCAACCACAGGGCCCTCTGCTTCCACCACAGAGCCTTGATGAGAAGATGAAGGGCAGGAGAATGCCTGAACTTTAACAAAGAAAGTGGAGCAGATAGTGGAGTGCTGCTCTGGGAATAAATGCAGTGAGAGATAAATAAATAATCAGAGAAGGTGCATCCATGTGTAACGAGAGTTATGCCCAACCTCTCAGGAGAGACGTAAGGTTTCAAGGTTGTATGCACAGCCTCTGTGTTGAACTGTGTACTGGACCAAACACATGCATGGATGTGTGTTCTTGTCATTCTGTGGAAAGCTAGATGATTAAGTGTGTTTCACCTAAGATCTGCACCCGTATTAGTCAGCCAGCAAAATGACCACTTTTCAAAAGGTGCAGAGGAAATGAAAGTTGAAGATGATCTGGTTTTTTTTTTTTATTTCTTTATAAGGTCTGAAATTTGTCTTTCCATTGACTGCCACTATTTTATTTATAACGGTCTTATCATTTAAGCCAGTGTGTGACTTTCATGCAGTAACCCAACTGCTGTGTCAATAGCTCAAATTGATTGCAGTTGATATATTATTATTATTAAAACAGCACAGTTTTATTTGTAAAGAGTTTACTTCCAACCCTGCACAGAGAGACTCAGACCTGAAGCTTACCAACAGATTAAGAGATGTAACAAGTTGCATCAGGTGTGTTTAGTTGAAGTTGTAGCTAAACTGTGCAGGGCTATGGCCCTCCAGGAACTGAGTTTGACACTCCTGGTATAGAATATTATAATAGTTAAATAATTACATGTAACTCTGAAACATGGATGTGTTTTGGTTTTGGTCGACCAAGGCTAAAAAACTCCAAGCTAGCAGAAATTGTGGTTCTATACAGCAATATATAATGCTCATAAGTTCAGATTGAAATTTTATTTTCTGAACATTTTTCCAGAAAATATGAATGACAAACTCGATTTTCCACTCATAGTGAGTGGTTGGGTGAAGCCATTTATTGTCAAACAACGTGTTTACTCTAAATTTCTTAATGACCCTGATCAAAAGCTCTTAATATTTTGATTTGTTCCCTTTAACATCAATGGCAGCCCGAGGTCTCTAGGAGTAGTTTTTGATGAGGTTCTTTATCTTCTTTGTTATAATATAATATACAAATAAAGACAACAACTCATTAATCACACAAATTTGATTGGTGTAGATATTCAGTGTTTCACAGTTCTGCAATTAATTCTCGTATACATATAATGT